TCATGTCCTGTCATGTCTTACCAAACGCTGAACAGCTGTCCTGTCCTGTCCTGTCCCGTCCTGTCCTGTCCTGTCCTGTCCAGTCCTGTCTGCGCACCAAACGCACCCTAAAGTCCATTGAGTTTTTTTAGACTTTAAAACCAAATGGGTATGGCCCACGAGTAAGGTTGTGGGCTATCAATTAAAATAGTAGATGTTTGGGCCCACTCTCCAACACCAAATAAGTCAGCCCAAGCCCATTAAATGGTGCTCTCATAAATTTGAATAAAAGAATTTATGATAAATTAAGGGGGTGTTTGCGATTGCTTATTTGAAACAACTTATCATTTTCTACAAAAACACTTATCAACTTATTATAAGTCAGATAGGTTTAACTTTTTCAAAAACTTCTTATTACCAATTTGATATCGATATAAGTTATTTACCCAAACACTCAAAAGTGCTTATTACCGGTGTCACAACGAAATAAGTCAATAAGTTATTTTTATAAGCAATCTCAAACACACCCTAAGACGGTTTAAAACAAAATTTGATAGCAATAAGTGAATAAAAGAAGTTTCAGACCTACAGATTCTTTAAAATTAAGCAAAAACCCAAGCAACTAAATGATTAATTTTCTAAATGGAAAAAACCATTAAATTTTCTTATTTTGAATGATTAAGTTCTTAAACTGTTTTTTAATGGGAAAACCATTATACTTGATCAATTTTTTTTTCTAATAAATAAACTATCGAACTTTTAAAAATTGGTTACATACATTATAGGGCAAAATGCGCAAAATAGCAACCTACTTTCACAAATTTCCTTATTATAGCATTCTACTTTCAGTTTTTCTTATTACAGCAATGTACTTTTAAAATATTTTTTATTAGGGCATTGTACTTTCAAAAATTTACYCATTATAGCATTGGGTAACCTGTTACCTTTTGAACAGGTTTTTCTTTGTTGACGTGGCAAATTTAAAATGACATGGAAACCATGTAGGATAACATATTACACATGGATATCCTACTTGTCATTAAAAAAAAAAATTAATGTAAAAACAATTTTTGAAAATGAAAAACCTTCATCCCTCTCATTGTTAGACCGTTCCTTCTCTTCCTCTTCTTGATGACTCTTCATTCACCCACAAACCCTCAATCCCTCAATCGCACACATCGTGTTCCTCTTTGGCCTAATCGACTCTCACCATCTTCTTCCTGATCAAATCTAAACCCTAATTGACTCAATCTCATCGACTTCCTCATCGCGCATCCTGATAAACTCGATGAATGAATGGTTTTTTTTTGGATATTTTTATTCGTGAAATAGTGATCTTTTATAAACATGTTTAATTTATGATATTATATTTTTTGCGCATTTTGCCATTAAATTTACAATGTTTAAATGATAAAAATATTAAAATTAAAAGTATAATGTTGTAATAGAAATTGATGATCTTATAATAAAATAATTTTGAAAGTACAATGCTGTAATAAAAAATGTCATGTCAGCACTATCGTACAAGTGTACAGCCTACGTGGACGATGAGGTGGCAAAGAAACCTGGTATAATAGGTAAATTTAATTTAAAAGGTTACCCAATGCTATAATGGGTAAATTTTTGAAAGTACAATGCCCTAATAAAAAATATTTTGAAAGTACATTGCTGTAATAAAAAAAACCTGAAAGTAGAATGCTATAATAAGGAAATTTGTGAAAGTAGGTTGCTATTTTGCGCATTTTGCCCTACATTATATTAACAAAAAAAAAAGACCTTGAAGTAAAGAAGAAACTTAAATAAGTTTTACTGTTTCCAAACTCTATGCCTTCCAACCCACTTACAAACAACGGTATCACTCCCCATCGTCACTCCCTATCACCCCATTGTTGTCTGTTATTCATATCGGCTATCACAATGTTGGTTTTTGTCATCGATCTCCCTCTTTTTGGTCTATTTTTAGAGGGTTACAAATAGAGTTTTATTTTAAGAATTTTTTAGTCGGTTACATGTAGTTTTATTGGGTTATAATGGTGTAAGTAACCAATTTTAAAAGTTCGATAGCTTATTTTATTGAAAGAAAATG